GACTATCGGTAGATCTTAAATACAATTCGTAGTCACCCTTGGTCATAAAAGGTGATGAAGAAGTGAAATTATAACAGAAGAAATCATATAAAATAACGACTAGTTCATGCTACAAGAAATGAGAGGGCACAAAAGCAGTATTAAACTATTTTAGTGAGATAAAGTGCCATGGTTTCATCAAAACATTCCTCTCTGATGCTATCTTTTGCAGAACCAAACAAATTGCATTTAAAAGCATCAATTGGGCATTGCTTAGTGGGCGGGACCTAGCAATGAAGAGCCAAGTTGAAATTTAGGAATAGTTGTTGATTCCTATATCCATTTACATAAATTACCTTTAAAGTTAACAGTTAACATGTCTTGAATGTACCAAATGACATCCCTTGACTGACGGTATTCTCTATCTGAGAAAAGTACAAATACATGCGTTTCCGTTTCTTTCGTATTCAGTACGTTTTAGAATATTGGCTCATTATTGGCCCCATCATCGTATATTCATATTAATTAAGTAGAAATTTTCTACTTTTTACTTCATTTGTGATGCAGAGTGATGAGCATCCTTTTGCTACATACTTTCGGCGCCTCAAGACTGCATAAATATACAAACAGTAACTACCTTTGTAGCCATCTCTCGCTATTAGATGCATCTATTCATGCCAATCAACTCATCAAATGTCGGCCACTTGCGGCATAATTAGGTTTCGATATTATCCTTATTGCTTGAAAAGGAAACTAATGACTGTGGCTAAAGGTGATTTAGGGAATGACAATTGAGTTTTTCCCACATTTCGATTGGTGCTCCTCGCAATGTAATAGAGTGGTAAATGACACCACGATACTCACGAAACGGTAACTAATCACACAGTTGGTATTAATGAGGCCTAGTTGAGGTCAACCTGCCGTCTAACATTGATAGGATTAGCTTTTGCAATGCAATGCAAAGTGAAGATCAATGACATTGTAAGACATTTTTCGTTCATGCCTGAATCATCTTAAGCGGCCTAGGATGACTAAGTTATTACGCTAATCACGGATCGTCTGCAGTCGTCTTTGCCAGCTGAAACTCAGACTGATCTTATCCTGCTTCAGGTCGCCAGTTTGGCTTCGCCAAACTTATATTTCCATGCTCGTGAATTGTTCAAGTGGATTTCTCTTTTGTTATGCACACAATTTTCCATTTAGTTGTAAACTAGAGCATATAAACTATCTTGCAATTTCCGCAATTTCACGATAATATATTGTTTTCCCTTAACCGAAAAGAAAATAGATGCATTCTTTGCTCGAGAGGGCCTGGGGATATTTTAATGAAATGTGTTAAAATTAGTCCTTTAGGCTGCCTTGATGACTTGGGTCCTGAATCAAGGATAAGTGAGACGAAGTATTCTCCCAGTCTTACCGTTTATGAATGAATATCGAGGACTAAAGATGAATTCTACTCAGTTCATGTATAGCCAAATTATTTTTCTTGCTAGGTCCAACTAATGTGAGCATGCCTTTTGTAGACAATGAGACTATTTGTTGAACATTTTCTGCATATTACGCAGAGATGTTTCTCTAGGTTTGGGTACGAACTTAGGCAACTTTTCTATTGATACTAAAGGTCTAGGATCGACCCGCGCAACATGAGGATGGACGAATTTTTACTGCTCGGGATTTAACAACATATCATGCGGAGTCTGCAAATATAAATAGACTTGGCGAAACAGGGAGAAAAATTAACATTACATGAAAATGGATATCTACAGATCAGAAATAGCGGACCACATCGTGAATACTGGACACGAGATCAATTGGAAGGCAACAGAAGGAAGGGTCCAATACGGTGAAAATACATGAAGATAAAAGATTAGGGAGGCTATTGACATACTTTTGGAAGTAAATTTGATGGACATGAGATTGGAGGAGGGTAGAGTGGGCGATAAATTCGTCTATTAGCAAAGCCAATCGGGAGAAAACAAGTACATGACAGGACGAGTGAATGTAGATGCCTGGACCAAGGATCTGTCGTAAATAAGAGGAAAAGGGTGAAGAGGTTTCTGAATTAAAGCAACTATAACTTCAAAGGTCTGGCAGTTACAGGACTTGAGGTTGGGAAAATAACAACAGCCACAGAAATCCACTCAAGAGGTAGTAGATGATCGAGCGAAGTCTGTCAACCAGAGAAATAACAAATGGATCTATGGGCGTATGAGGCAGATCCGGATAAGAGGCCCGAGTCGGATCATCACATCGAGAATGTGGATTGGTATGGTTAACTGTAGATATGATGGCGCCACACTGACCTCACCAAAAAAGGGCTTTCTTTCGCGGAATGGAATGGAAACAAGTGAGAAGTTGTGCTGAGGCGCGAGGGAGATAGGAGAGTAGGGAGTAGATAGAGGAGTGAAAGTTCAACCGTCCGACATAAAATTGGTCAAGGGGTTGACTTTATTTGTCTCTTTGACAAGTCGTAATTGGAAGTTGTGCCGAGAATGGCAAGACTCATTGACAAGGTCGGCGAAACGTCTGTAAATGTACCAAGTATACGTTTCAACGCTGCGAATTATAATAGCTACTATGGCGGAGAATTTCGGACAAGATGCATCCAACTAAGTCGCCCTGACAACACGACAA